AATTAAATTGAGAGTAAGTGTGTGCGAGCGTAATTGAGAGTAAATCAGGCATGCTTACCCATATACACTACCGTAACTGAGGGTCGATGGGTAAACACATTTTCTGTTTCTTTCTCATTACGTCAGTCGTTTTTAATGGTGAATTCTCTGTTACGCTCGCACACACTTGCTCTCAATTTAATCTTGCCCAACACTGCTTTAAGCGCATTTTTCTCTAAACATTTTTTTGCGAATGGCGGGCACGATAACTCAAAAACTAATAACCCAATCGATTTCAAATTTTTACACGTTTCTCTGTGAGTGTATAGCTATCGTATGAACTAGGATAACGCCAATCGGTGAAGATCTTCCTTATTTTTTAACTTTGGTTTTGGTAAAAAATTGGCGATTTTCCAAAAATATTTTTTCAAAGGTCTGCCATTTTGTTAATTTTAGAGCGAAGTCAAAAATCCTAGTTCATACAAGGAGTTATCATGCCCGTCATCAAAAATAAGGACTTTTCTTTAATTACAGAAAACAACAACAAAACAACAACAAAAATTTTTTGTAAATTATTTTTCTTCTATTTTAAATCTTCAATTATATATGTGTAAAGTTACAAACCTTAAAAAGCATTGGTATTGATTTACCAGCCCATTGAAAATCTTGAAAAATTAAAATCGGGAATGGGGGGGGGGGGGGGGGGTTCGTTTAAACTTCCATTAATAAACACGAAATTCTATATTCGTCTGAATGCAATAATAATTTCATATTTATATACTTTTTATATTTTTATTTATAACAAATATATTAATATTATATTTAACAACATTTAAACTATATTATTTTTACATCGGTTGATGATAAACACCCAGATTTGGTATTCCTTTATTTTCCATTCCCGGATTAGGTATACCTTTGTTATCCAGACCTGGATTGGACATTCCCTTATTTTCGATACCTTTGTTATCTATTCCTTTATTGTCCATTCCATGGTTATACATGCCTTTATTATCCATTCCTTTATTGTCTATTCCTTTATTATCCAGTCCTTGATTGAAAAGGCCCATGTTGTGTAGACCCTTATTGAATAATCCTGCATTATGAAGTCCTTTATTGGGGATACCCAAATTTTCAAAACCTTTATTATCCACACTGTAACCAGCAACAAATGCTATAGCCAAGGCTAAAACAAAAATCTGAAAAAATACATTTTTTATTAAATATATAAATGTTATTACAAAATATTTTGATTTTTTCTTACATATTTCAACATTTTGACGAAGTTTGTAATATTGAATTGATGTCCGTTAGGAATACTTGATTGCAGTTGCCAATCGAATTGATATCAGTTAACAAACTTGTTCACTTATTTATATGAAAATTATAAAACGGTAGCTTTTTGAGATATTGAAATATTTGGATATAAGAACGTCATTGGGTATGTACATTTTAGGATTGAATTCCAAATATAGTTGGGTGTGGTCAATGTATACATTTCTTCAAGTCTGTATTTCTTTTGTTTTTGTTATTTCACATTCCAGAGATGATGATGATGTTTGAGACGTCTGCTACATATTCAGAATATTTAATCAGTTATTAACTCAAAATTATGCAATTACAAAAAAATCAATTTTCTAATTATAAAACAAGTTACCGTAATAATTGTGAAAATCTTTTTATTTATATATATTTTTTTATTATAATAAGACAACTTACAATATATAAATTCCACGCATTGAGTCATTAGAATATTGTAGTATAATTTATGAAAAATTACGCATTGTGTCCTTTGAATATTTGACAAAAATTTGTTATTTAATAAATTTTAGTAAAAAATTCACGCCTTGTGTCCTTTGAATATTGGATAAAAAATCATTAAAAAATCCACGTCTTATGTTCGTTGAATATTGTATAAAAATTCATTAACAAATCCTCACCTTGTCCTTTGAATATTGGATAAAAATTCGTTTAAAAAATCAAAGCCTTTCGTCCTTTGAATATTGAATAAAAATTCATTAGAAAATCCACGCCTTGTGAATATTAGATAAAAATGCATTAAAATCTAAGACTTTTGTCCTTTGAATATTGAATAAAATTTTTAAAAATCCACGCCTTGTGTCCTTTGAATATTGAATAAAAATTCATTAAAAAATCCAAGCCTTGTGTCCTTTGAATATTAAATAAAAATTCATTTAAAAATCCACGCCTTGTGTCCTTTGAATATTGAATAAAAATTCATTAAAAATCCACGCCTTGAGTTCTCGGAATATCCGATAATAATTCATAAAAAAATTCCACGCCTTGTTTTCTTTGAATATTGAATAAAAATTCATCAAAAAATCCACGCCCTGTATCCTTTTAAGGGACCCCCCATTCTCGGGGTCAACAATTTTTTTGATTTAATTCGAATCTACACTAACTCAAGAATGTCCCTACCTAAATTTCATGTGAAAATCCCAAGAACTCTTGAATGGCGGGCACGATAACTCAAAAACTAATAACCCAATCGATTCCCAATTTTTACACGTATCTCTGTGAGTGTATAGCTATCGTATGAACTAGGATAAAGCCAATCGGTGAATATCTTCCTTATTTTTGAACTTGGTTTTTTGTAAAAAATCGGCGATTTTCCAAAAATATTTTTTTAAAGGTCCGCCATTTTGTTATTTTTAGAGCGTTGCCAATACGAGAGTTTATACGAGAGCCAGACATGTACTCTTTGTAACACCGTTGGAATTTTCGGATTCCGATGTTCCAGTGAGGAGTTATCATGCCCGCCATCAAAAATAAGAACTTTTCTTTAATTACAAAAAACAACAACAAAACAATAACAAAAATTTTTTTGTAAATTATTTTTCTTCTCTTTTAAATCTTCAAATATATTACAAACCTTAACAAGCATTGGTATTGATTTACCAGCCCATTGAAAATTTTGAAAAATTAATATCGATAATTGGTGGGGATCCTTAAAAATTCACTTCTTGTATCCTTTGAATATTGGATAAAAATTCATTTTAAACCAGTAAGGAAATTTCAAAAGTCGGTCGGCGCCGACTATATGATACACTTCACCACTTTGGCTGCATAAAAGCGATACTCATATGTACAATATTCTTTATATAGAATAGACATATCATCTTTGGAGGACCAATGAAATGGAATCTAACTAATTTAACTGCCTAAAATTGTAGATATTTGAACTAAAATAAAACAACCCATACAGATACAATCTGAAATCTACCAACAATTTAATGCCAATCATCAAGCAAAGTATGTATAAGATCTATGTATATAAATGGACGACTTTGAGCAACCCTGGCATCCACCATTTGGTATGCTGCGACACTATGCGCTATCCAAAATTTATCTCGACACTAAATTCTAAGTTCGATTTGGTACGTTGTGAACTAATTCGTCCTAAGCGGACAAACTTTAGTTATTTGGTACATCATTTTGATGAAATCGGATGAAATTATATATGGAACCTATATTTAAACTTCAAACGTCTTTAATCCAATACGCTATGCAATATTTCATGTAAAGCGAACAGACATAGGCTCCTCCATTTGCATAAAATCGGACTAAAGTATATATGTGAGCTATATTTAAATTTGAACCGATTTCAACCAAGCTTAGCTTACATCAATCTATACTTAATTCAATACTCTCTGCAAAAGTTTGTCTCAATCGTAACAATATTGGGAGTTTGGTGCAATATTTTATTCTAGACTAAATTTAATACAAGCTACAAAATTTCGTTAGAACATAGACTCCTCGGCGCACCATTTACCTAAAATCGGACAAAGCTATATATGGGAGTTATATCTAAATCTGAACCGATTTCAACCAAACTTGGCATACATCAATCTGGACCTAATTCAGTACTCTGTGAACAATTTTATTTCAATCGGACCAATATTGGGAGTTTGGGGCACCATTTACCTAAAATCGGATAAAGCTATATTTGGGAGCTATATCTAAATCTGAACCGATTTCAACCAAACTTGGCATACATCAATCTAGACCTACTTCAATACTCTGTGCAAAATTGTGTAGCAATCGGACCAACATTGGGAGTTTGGTGTACTATTTACCTAAAATCGGACGATGCTATATATGGGAGCTATATCTAAATCTGAACCGACTTTCCCCAATTTCAATAGGGTTCGTCCTTGGGCCAAATAAATGACATGTACCAAATTTCATCCAAATCGGATCATAAACGCAACCTGTACTTTGTTCACAGAAATACATGGACGGACGGACAGACGGGTATGCATAAATCGACTCAGAAAGTGATTCTATGCATATTTTCAAAAGGAACCATGTATCTATCTCGTTTCCTTTTGCCTATTACAAACATATGCACAAAGTCATAATACCCTGTACCACAGTGTGGTGAAGGGTATAAAAATCCACGCCTTGTGCCCTTTGAATATTTGATAAAAATTCATTAAAAAATCGACGGTTTCCGTCCTTTGAATATCGAAAAAAAAATTATTAAAAAAAAAAAATCCAAAAATCCATCCATTAAAAAATCCACGCCTTGTGTCTTTTAGATATTGGATAATAATATTAAACACATATTTTAATGCTGAAAATTGAATTGAATTTATTAATTTCAAAGTGCTTAAATAATAATTAAAAACAAATAAAAACTTGGAATTATTATAATAATCTTAACAATTTCAATAAACTAGTTGCTCTAATGTTTGTGATCATCATGACCTTTGTGGCTATCATGAGCTTTATGATCATTGTGGCTGTTATGATTATCGTGTACTTGGTGGTTGTCATGACCCTTGTGATCCTCCTGACCTTTATGACCATCATGTCCTTTATGGTCATCATGGGTCTTGTGATCATCATGACCCTTATGAGTGTCATGTCCATTATGATCATCATGACCTTTGTGATCATTATGAGCTTTATGATCATTGTGGGTATTATGATTATCATGTACTTGATGATTGTCATGACCCTTGTGATCTGCCTGACTCTTATGGGCATCATGTCCTTTATGGTCATCATGGGTCTTGTGATCATCATGACCCTTGTGATCATCATGACCCTTGTGATCACCTTGGCCCTTATGATCATCATAACCCTTATGATCATCATGACCCTTGTGATCATCATGAACTTTATGATCAGTATGACCCTTGTGATCATCATGAATTTTATGATCAGTATGACCCTTTTGAACATCATGACCCTTATGCTCATCATGTCCTTTATGAACATTCTGTCCCTTATGATCATCATGTCCTTTATGAACATCCTGACCTTTATGATCATCACGTCCCTTATGATCATCATGTCCCTTATGATCCTCCTGTCCCTTATGATCATCATGGCCTTTGTGGTCATCGTGGGCTTTGTGATCATTATGTTCCTTGTTATCATGATCTTTTTGAACCTCATGACCCTTGTGATCATCATGCGCCTTGTGATCTACATGACCAACATGTTCCTTATGCTCTTCATGGCCATGTTCTTCCTTCGTATGGGGATAAGCAGTCACCAAAGCGACAACAAAACACAAAATAAAAATCTAAAAAAAATAACAAATTAATTCAAAATATCAGAACCATTTCCATTTACAAATAATTCAATACTTACGTATTTAAACATTTCCGAAATGTTTAGGAATTTGTTATTCAAAACTATTCAATTTGAACTGATTTAATTTGACTACTGAATCACTTATTTATATCAAAAATTGAATTCCATAAAACAGTAAGAAGAAGAATACAAAAATGGGCGTTACATTTGTTGGCCCACTTTTTGAAACTTGTTCCGAAATTTGCCCTTTTGTTTGTTTTAATAATTATTGTATATATTTTGGAAACCGGTTTTCGGAAATGCATTACTGGCACATTTTCTGTTAATTGAAAGTTAATTGATAATTATTATCTGGATCAATTATTATTTTGATTTAGATCAAATGAAAAGGAGTAAATATTTATGTCAAAATAAATTGTATTGGAGGTGATATCGGATCCATCTGTAAAGTACATTGAACGGGACACGATTAAAATGAAAATGTAAATGAAATTTCGATTACCTAAAAAATTTTCCACAGAGGTAAGTGAAATATTGACCCTTTAGACCTTCTAGGGAATTTTAATATATTCTGAATAATTTATATAGAATAATATATGAAGAAGACCCGCTGAAGCTATTCTATGGATATACATAGAATAGCTTCAGAATAGAAGATTATATGAAACTCTTACATAAACAGAAGGCCTTCTCAAGTCTTTTATAGATAGAAGACCTTCTAAATCCCTACTATAGATAGAAGGTCTTCTATCCCAGACATTCCACTTCTTAAAGTGGCCAACTTACATAGGAATATCATCAACAGGACTTACAGACTTGTAAGGAGTAGAACGCAAATCTACACGTGGAAAGCTAATTATTTATTAATGGATCCAATTTCTTAGGTCAGCCAACTCTACCGAATTTGTTTCATTTAACAATTAATAAATTGGAGCGACTGTAACTGGTTTATTGAAAATCAAAATTACCATATATTTATTTACACACACACACACATACATAATTGTCAATAATATTTAATCGAAGATTTCGATTTTTTATATATATTTAAAGGACTAACTTAACTTTTAAAAATATTTTTTGAGGACTTCGGACAGGCGTGGATTTTTTCAAAATATTTTATCTCCGACCTACATAAGACGTTGATTTTTATACCCTACACAAATATGATGTCAGGGTATTATAGCTTTGTGCAGTTCCAAGAGTTTGTAACGCCGCGAAATATTGGTCCAAAACCCACCATTAAGTATACCGATCGTCATATCTCGACTAGCTGAGTCGATCTAGACATGTGTGTCCGTCCGTCTGTCCATGGGTTCTGGCCAATGAAGACCCCCATTGTTTTTGGTAAAGATCGGGAAATATGGACGAACAACTTTTTTCTTGTCGCTCCGGAGGCCGCAATTATGGCCCAAACATCGGGAAATTTTACTGTTATGGTAAGATAATGATTTTTTTCGAGTCGATCTACACAATTGAGTCGGCCACAATTGAAAGCCGAACATCACAACACAAGCCACGGTGAAGGGAATTTGAAAAAGTAATTAGAAAGGCTGTACTGAATATTAGCAATAATTGTTGACCTCTAGTCGGTTAAGAGGGTGCAACTATCACGAAATATTGCTCAGGCTCTGAATAAAAATCCGCAGAAAGTTAGAGTTCCGTGTTAGTTTTGTAGGGTATCGTATGATCGGCCCCGTCCGACTATTCTGCACCACTCACTAATTTTAAAATATTTTCTCGATTTTTTTAAAAATATTTTTTTTCTTGAACCTACATAAGGCGTGGATTTTTTAACAATATGTTTGAGGACCTAAGGCAGGCATGGATTTTTATACCCTTCACCACACTGTGGTACAGGGTATTATGTCTTTGTGCACATGTTTGTAACAGACAAAAGGAAACGAGATAGATCCATAGTTTCTATTGAGAATATGCATAGAATCACTTTATGAGTCGATTTACGCATGTCCGTCCGTCCGTTGATGTTAAATTGTAAACAAAGTACAGGTCGCATTTATGATCCGATTTTGATGAAATTTGGCACAAATCACATATTTTGGCCAAGGACGAACCCTATTGAAATTGGGAAAAATCGGTTCAGATTTAGATGTAGCTCCCATATATATTTTCGTCCGATCTTATATAAATGGTGCGCCAAAGTCCCAATATATCTTTCGATTTCCACGAAATTTGGCATATCGTACTGAATTGAGCCTAGCGTGATGTCTGATAAGTTCCATGGAATTCGATCTGGATTTAGATATAACTCCCATATATAGTTTCGTCCGATCTTATGTAAATGGTGAGCCCAGTGTGATATCTGACAAGTTTCGTGAAAATCGGTCCAGATTTAGATATAGCTCCCATATATATTTTCGTCCGATTTAATGTAAATGGTGCACCAAAGTTCCTATATATCTTTCAATTTCCACGAAATTTGTCATATCGTACTGAATTGAGCCTAGAGTGATGTCTGATAAGTTCCATGGAAATCGGTCCGGATTTAGATACAACTCCCATATATAGTTTCGTCCGATCTTATGTAAATGGTGCACCAAAGTCCCTATATATCTTTAGATTTTCCCGAAATTTAACATATGGTACTGAATTGAGCCCAGTGTGATGTCTGCCAAGTTTCGTGAAAATCGGTCCAGATTTAGATGTAGCTCCCATATATATTTTCGTCCGATTTAATGTAAATGGTGTGCCAAAGTCCTCATATATCTTTCGATTTGCACGAAATTTGGCATATCGCACTGAATTGAACCTGGACTGATGTTTGTCAAGTTTCGTGAAAATCGATCCAGATCCACATTTAGATATAGCTCGCATATATATTTTTCTCCTATTTAATGTAAATGGTGCACCATTCCTATATTTCATTCGATTTGCATGAATGTCGATTTGCAAGTGATGTCTGATAATTTTCGTGAAAATCGGCCCATATTTAGATATAACTCCCATATATATTTTCGACCGATTTAATGTAAATGGTGCATCAAAGTCCCTATATATCTTTCGATTTCCACGAAATTCGGCATAGCGTACTGAATTGAGCCTGGAATGATGTCTGATAAGTTTCGTGAAAATCGGTCCAGATTTAGCTTCCATATATATTTTCGTCCGATTTAATGTAAATGGTGTGCCAAAGTCCCTATATATCTGTCAATTTTCACGAAATTCGGCATAGCGTATTTAATACAGTCTAAAATGATGAGTGGTAAGTTTCGAGAAAATCGATTCAGATTTAGTTATAGCTTCCATATATAGTTGTGTCCGATTTAATGTAAGTGATGTACCAAAGTCCCTATCCGACTTTACTACTTTCCTAATGGATTTAAAAAAAAAAATTCAGTGAAAATTCTCAAATTTTCCTCTCTTTTCTCTGTTTGCTCTCTTAATATATTTTGTTTTCTCTTTCAACAATTCTGAAAGGAATTAGATGTTCTCTTCATTTGCTTGGGCGCCACAAAATGCATATCGGAAATATTATAAACATTTTAATGAAAAACTTAAGCCCCTTTAAAACATTCCTGGGGTCTGATTTTCGTTGTTGTTCTCCTCACTTATCATCTGGTGAGAAAAATAAACAAATCCATTTTCACACTCTTCCTCTTGCCAGTGTTAATTTTCGAACAAAATTTCGAATTTCACATTCAAAGAGATTATGGCCAGCAAAAATTTTCCCACAAAAAGAAAATTCAGTCTGTTTGAGATTTCCCTGCGGTTCGGTATGAAAAACGAAAATTCTCGGCATACAACGGTGGTGGCTGCGGACGACGAAGTACTACGCATTCATGAGTGTGCCTGAAATTGCATTTTAAAAATAGCCCGTTTGCTAGTTTAACGGCAAAAATCTGCTTCGTTCTAATTTTGATTGACGACGGTATTGTTGTGAACGGAACAAGTGTGTAATGAAAAAACTAATTTTCAAAATTATTAAAGCTAATTATGAAATAAAGTTTACAAGCCACGATTTTAAAACGCCATTAGTTTTCAGTTTTTTTTTCAAAGATCATTCATAATTTGTTTTTGTGGTGAAGAATTTTATATAAGAATTTTGTTAGCCTCACAGAAGAAGAAGACGACGAAAAAAAAACGGAAAGCAAATAAAGAGAAAAATCAAAATATACAAAAAGGCAAATAGCTGAACAAAAATATGTACATGTTTTTTTTTGTGGTATCCAAGTGAAAAAAAAATTGAAATAAAAAAAAAACAAGTGGACACCAGACAGATAACTGAATATTTTGTGTATTTATTTTCGCATTTGACGACCAACACGGGGAAGACGACGGCTACGATCCCGATGATGATCATAATAATAACAACAATAAATATAATAATAATGAAGAAGAATTCAAAATGTTGAAATATACACACCACGACAAAAAATACAAAACTAACAACAACAAATATATATACAAACATACAACAACCATATAAACAAATAAAAACACACATAAATAAATAAATAAAAAATTTGCAAAAGTGGCCACAGAAATTCATTGCAAATTAATTTCGGTGTATTTCAGACACCGTCGTCTATTTTTCGGTTAATGGCTGATGCCGACAAATGTTTGGTGTTGTTGTTAATGTTTCTGTTTTTTTCCTTCTGCATCCTCTATTGTTGTGTTGTGTTTTTCTTTTATTTCGAAATAATTATAGCATAAACAATCTGTCATTAGTTGTTTTTGTTTTGACACCACTGTGCCGCCTCAAATCTATTTCGTTTTTTTGTCTATTGGCGGATTTTTTTAAGATGCTGATGCCAAAAAAGAAGTGCTAATTTTTGGTTCCGAGTCATTAACGTACCCAAAAAAATAATTTATTTTTATCTGAAGTACAAAGTAATTAGGTGAATTGTTGTCCCAGACAATTGTGAAAGAAAAAAAACG